CAAGGGTCCACTTTACAAGCAGAGCATATGTAATAAACAAAAAGACATTATGGAATGTATTTTTTAAAACTTACCTTTTTGATGCTGTAGAAGTTAATACGTTCATCTATAATTTTAGTCAAACATGAGGTGGGTTGACTTAGAATAGAACAAATAAAAATACGCTATATTTTAGGACGCGGAGAGTATACTGTATGACGAGTAGTTTAGAAGCGGAGCATACGTAATAAGGGTGCGTTTAGTTCCAAAAAATTTTGGATTTTGGCTCACTGTAGCATTTCGTTTGTATTTGGTAATTAGTGTCTAATTATGGACTAATTAGGTTCAAAAGTTTCGTCTCGCGATTTCTCGACCAACTGTGTAATTAGTTTTTTTTTTCATCTACATTTAGTACTGCATGCATGTGCCGCAAGATTCGATGTGACAGTTACTATGCAAATTTTTTTGGCAACTGAACGGGGCCTAAGAAAATCCGATCGAAGCTAGCAAAGTTTTGAAAACAACAACTGAATCTTCTGACATGATGGCCCATTAGTTTTAACATCTATACTACTTCTGTATTAGTTGACATTATAGCTTACGGCATGACACGGCTGCTTGTTTCTGAATTTGCTTATTAGCAACACGACCAGACACATGGACCACCACTACGGTATATATATTTGTTTCTTCGACAAGAGAAGAGATTAATACTCAGATCAGGCAACGAGTATCATCCCCAAGTGAGTCATCACCAGCTGACATAGACGACTACTAATGATAAACAAATGTTCATCAGATCGCCACCACACGACTGTTTGCCGTCACTCCGAAGCACTAGAACCTGCTAGCGTTTCGTTAACCAAATAAGGCGATCGATCTTTGTGCGTATACGTAGCAGCACCTGCATCCAGAGAGATCAACGCATCACATGCAAAGATAGCCTACGGTGTAATGCTTGCTTTGTCACCTTGCATGCATCAAGAAGATCAGAGCCAAGGAACCTGGAGAATCTTGAGACTTTGAGAGAAGCTCACGGCCGGTCAGGGGCTCTGCAGGGCAGAGGCACGGCAATATTGGTGCCGGCTTGGTTGGGGAACAGAACAGACAAGCCAGCGCGGCGCAGAGGCCATGTCTACTCCTCATCACCTAAGAACCCTACATCATTATTAGTTCATTAGATTAAGCAACGCATCACAGTTTGTTCTAACATAATCGAAATTTATATTTGAGGAATCTTCTGAAGCAATAATAGGAGTATATATGATACTGAGCCTGCTCTTCTGCTCTTTGCTAGTTTGTCCTTGCAACTCGTTCTCTCTCTCTCTCTCTCTCTCTCTCTCTCTCGCTTGTTCTCCTCTGCTTTAATTTGCCTAGCTAGTTTAATTGGGTGTTAGGACCTAGGAGGGGCTTTGCATGGCCATCAGGTACAGACATGCCCACATGGCTCACACACACACAAACTACTACTCTTACTAATATATACTGTAGTATAGTACCACTAGTATATATATAAATAAACTGCAAGTACGTACGTATGGTTCAAAAGAAGAAGAGAAAAACTGCAAGTACGTGTTTTGTCAAACAGCAATGTGAACTTTTGATAAATGGTTTCTGCTTGCACGCATGGAACTAGCACTAACACACACCTCGGAAATTAAATAGATAAAATGGACTAATTAATATAATAGTCTGTCCTTGCACCGGTAGCAGTAGTACGCAGTGTTGAATTTTTTTTGGATATGGTTGTGCGATTAGCTAGAATTAGATGTCGCGTTCGTGGCCGCATCCTGGGACCTCGTTTATTTTACTGATGGATTCATCAGTGCAGTGCAGTGGTGTGCATGTGTGCTAGCTAGCTAGCTAGAGCAGTGTCCACAAAGCTAGCTAGGTTAGCTGCTAATCGTCGTCTCGTGTTTGCTTTCAGATGAGCCAATGCAAGTGTGTTTGTAGAGAGAGAGAGGCGATCGAGTACGGTGTGTGTTTTGTTTTGAAGGCAAGGACGTACGGCGTCGCGTAAACGGGAGGCTACCGTGAAGCCGTCGGCGGAGTCAAAATGCAACGGCGAGAGAGATCATGGCATGTGGGTACCTACCTACCTTCTAGTAGTACTGGCTGATTAGCAAGCGTGATCTCTATCTAGAAGCAGTGGCAATGGAAGTATAGCTAGCTAGCGGCTTTCAAGGCCACATCAAGGGCATAATAGCTAGCAGTGTAGTAATTAGTAAGCTAGCTAGCTAGGGCTCTTCTTTTTTCCCGAATCATGCAGAGATCATGGGTTATATCCATATGCAATTAATTAGTATATATAGCGCACAAGATCACCATCCTGATCCCAAACTGATACTCCTACACTTTGCATGCCTTGTTGCCTGCCTCCAAAGAAGAAACTACTGCTCTCTTCCACTGATATACTCCTACAACACACAGTGGCAGACAAATTCTGATGCCAAGCAGATCACCATGATGATCAGGAGGTGATGATCATGACTTCATGACAGTAGTAGCTTAATTAAATCATGCATGTATACTGATGCATGCATGCATGAACATGCTGAATAGTGAATATGATGATGCCCATCGGTTACAAAGTAGAGTAAGTAGTATCAATCATTGAGATTCAATTAGTCTCTGTATCCAGTTTATGTTGAACACGGCCGAGTGGGACAGTGGTTCAGTGGCTCAACGAAAGAGCCCCGACAGGATTAAAATACTACTGTCCTTTCTCCTGCTAATCTGAGTACTAACACACACATGCTAATTTCCCTTTTATGATTGCATAAATAAAAGAACAAGAGAGTCGCATTCCCCCGGCCACATACGACACTTGGCGCTAGGCCTTGTTTAGATTGAAGAAAATTTTAACCCGATGAATAGTAGCATTTTCGTCTTATTTGGTAAATATTGTCCAATCGTGGACCAACTAAGCTCAAAAGATTCATCTCGTGATTTCCAACTAAACTGTGCAATTAGTTATTTTTTTTACCTACATTTAATGCTTCATGCAAGCGTCCAAAAATTGATGTGATGGAGAGAGTGAAAAAACTTGGAACTTTGAAGGGAACTAAACAAGGCCCTAGTGTAAGTTTCTCTTATCTGCTGCTTCAACATAATAATACACTTTATTGCTTGGAATTTGATGATAACACACACACGACCAGCAGGCAAAGACATGCATGGGACCACACTGCAGGTTGTTGTTGAGCCAGATTAACTAATTAGTAGCACATAGTACTACTTAGAAGAAATATATGGTCATCAGATCGAGTAAGGACAACATCTTTAGTCATCAGTGGAACGTCGTTTAGAAGAAATGCTCACATGCACTGATACTTGACTGAATCACTTCCTCAGATAGTCTTCACTATTATAGGAGTATATGCCTGAAGTAGTGCAGTCTGCATGCCTTTGTCATGACTCATGAACCCTTGCATTGTATAGTACTCCTATCTTGAAGATTGACTATATGACCAGAGAGCAAGTTCACCAGCAGGAACTAAACTAATCACGGAGTACTTGTTGTCAGGAGCTAGCTAACGTATCTTGGTTCAGAGTTCAGAGTTTCAGACTTGCTTGCATTGTGATCGAGTTGTGACCAGAGTCCAGAGCCCAAGGAAGCTGGGGAATCTGGAGTGAGAGGAACTTGCCTGCAGGCTGCAGGGCAGCTGCCACAACAAGCGCACCAATATTCGCGCTGGGCTGTAGTAGGGGGACAGTCCGGGCGCGGTGCCCAGGTTTCATTACCTAATTAAGGACGCTAGCTGCATGCATTAAGCAAAGCGTCGTAATTTGTCTCTAATTAATTAAACTAGAGGAATCTTCTGAAACTTAGCTGAGCCTGTTGCATGTCTCTTTATCTCTGTATTTTTCTTTTCCTTACTTAAAAAAACAACGTACCTGTTCTACTATAGTTAACTGAAGCCTTTAGTTTAGTTTAACTTATTATTATTAGGTGACTTGCATGCATGGTCAAGTACAGACATGCTCACATGGCTGACAAACTAGCTAGCCCCTTTTTTATTTTCTATTTTTTGTTGAAAGATCCAACAAAAGTTGGCTTTACAATATCATATATATTTAGTCATGAGAAAAAATTGGACTAGCAGCTAGTTAGGTCATATTTGGTAGGCTCCTCCTCAAGAGCTCCTTCGAAAGAGTAAGAACTGTTTTGGAGGAGCCACGAATTATGGGTGGCTCTTAAAAAATGGCTCCGACTCATTTTTTTTTACCGGAAAAATGACTCGATAAACCTGTCGTTGGGGAGGGTATGGACATACCCGGGCTTACCCATCCCCAAATTCATTTGTGAAATTATCCATTCTTATCCTCCCCGTAATTCCCCATACCCATTGGGTAATAATAACCTGATACATCTAAACCAGGAACATGCGCTTCGACTGTTTACATTCGCGTGCTTGAATCAATTGAATAAGCGATGGAAACCAAAATCCATACGCAGAGTGAGGCCCATGCCGGCATGCCTGGAGGAGTCTTGCACCTAGCACTACGTCAAAAAGGGTTTTTAGGGGCGGTTGTAGACCATTTGTAGGGGCGGTTTGGCCAGCCGCCCCTAAGCAACAGTCTCTACAAATCATGTATTTGTAGGGGCGGTTCCCAGACCGCCCCTACAAATCGATTTGTAGGGGCGGCTGGTGTTATCAGCCGCCTCTACAAATCGATATGTAAGGGCGGTTGGTAACACTAGCCGCCCCTACAAAATTGATTTGTAGGGACGGCTACAGTACCACCCGCCCCTATAAATCGATATACAACAGGGGCGGTTCAATCTAGAACCGCCCCTACAGTACATTTTTCGTAAAAAAAAAAATCAAATTTACAATTATATATATATATATATATATATATATATATATATATTCAAATCTGACCACAACACAAGGACGTTATATAATTCAAATCATAGTCTATATGCTTGTATCACCTACTGCCTATTATACAACAAAGGTCTAACATCTCAGATTGCAACTATGTATAGAACTATGCATAAAAACATTTTGTGCTCATCCAAGCAGTGAACGCATCCAGGTGACCACCACCATCCTCTTTTTCGGCTCTTTATTTACTTTCCTGCACATCTGCATAAGCAAGGCAACAAGGGAAATGATTATTTTCAATACTTGCTAATTGGAAGAGTGAAAAAATACTCAAAACCGAACTGAACTGAACTGCTGCTGCTATATAGCTTCACATATATGAGCTGAAACACATGCATATATTTTTAATGGGCAAGAGCAAACAAGGATCAATACAGAGATTAACTTAAAACTTGCAAAAGTACTGCTCATATGCTAGTGACCAATTGAGATCAATACAGTTCATATATGTATGCACACCGAGACATCACATGAGCTAGCTAAAAAGGCTTGTGAATGAACAAGGACAAGACCTTGCTCATTTGAGTAAATAAGCACTTAAGACAAGGCATGCAATAATTATTTAACTATTGGCAATAATTATTTAAGTATTTGTATCCAGCAATCACCCATCTGAATATTTCTATTGGCACAATAGACAGGAGCTGTCATGCAAAAGGAGAAAGAACTTTCAGTCAACTTCTAATGCTAAAGCAGTGTAGAAATGCTCCAAATCATTTTAACAGGTAATATACTAGTATTTCGTCAACAGAGAATCAGTAAATGACAGATATAGCTTAGCAAACAAATAATATTGGTAAATGGTGGTAGTAATGATCCTTGGAATTGATTGGTTTCATTTTCATACAAAAGCAATGCAAATTATTTAAACTCAAGCTTGCTGATTGCTTTACAGGTGTTAGAATCCAGTGATGCTACCACAGAATTGAGTGGCGACTGCAAAGCAAAATCGGACCCATGAAATTCCTCAAAACCATACTCAGACATCAACATATATATCTCATCCTCTAAGCAGGTACCGCATAACCAAGAGATGCTACCACAGAATATTCGAATCTCCCAACACCAGCAACTTGCAGGTTACTGGCCGTTTGATGCAATCATCTCATATTTCACCCCAATTAAGGAAGCAGTATTTCACCCCAATTAAGGAAGCAGTATTAAGCACAAACATAAGCGCTAGATGTAGGATTACGGAAAGCATCAAGAGCATGGCAATTTCAGATTTCCTAGCGACCACGCTAAACAAGTCAGTAACAACAGATTTCTGAGGCGCATCCGTGTCTTCAAGTCAATTTTACATTTTTACCCAACATATGGCAAAGGCAACTGATTCAAACATAGAGAATTCCCAAATAGTTATTCCAAGAGAGACTTACGCAGATGATGACAGGTTTGGCCCCTCACTTGATCATAGATGCGCTTTCCATCCTTGCCATAGCCATCGACAAAGAGAGCCCAAGGAGTCTTTGGCGTGCTGCATGTACCCAAGAGCTTGTCGTGCTCTTCAGTATATATTTCTTCCTTGGCTCCTATCTCTATTACTGCTGTTTTGCCATCTTCAGAGTGTTTCTCTTTCTTTGGCTCAGTTTCACAATAGCTTACTGGTTCCACGTCCTTCAACCTTAAAAAACAAAAAAAAAAGGTTTTAAGAAGATTACTGCTAAGATCCAATGAGATACGATTGCAGGACATCTACATCCAGCGTTTATTAAACCTATTTTATTTATTTAACATGTGGCAAACAAATTTGGAGTAGAAAACATAACTGACAATTTTGTACTGCCTCGTGGAAAGGCATTAGGAGTTAACGCCATTAGGACAAGATTGCGCACATGTTATTGACATGACAGTATCGTTATGGGAAAAAAGAAAGGACAGCCACATCCATTCAGATCCATACACACTGAAACTACAATACAAGCACGAGATGAAATAGACAGAGATACTTATACTGAAATGTGTTGAGCTAAGGTGTAAAGGGGTGGAAAGAATAGTAAAACATTCCACAAGCACAGGCTGCAGGTAGATCCGTTCAGATGACGAAAAATAAACGATTGTCAATCATCGCTATACTAGATTCATGAAGACACGGGACGCTATTGAATAAAAAAGAACAGATGTTTGCACATAACACAGACTTCATGACCCCAGCGTTCGGAGGCAAGAACCCGCAGCATCCCAAGAAAGTAATAATCGGGACACGCATCCACCACCGCAAAGAAGGCGATTCGGTCCATACGAGCGACCTCCGCGAGGGCGGCGGCGGCGCTGGCTTCACCCGGCGGCGCGTCAACGGACCACGGCTCCACGGGCTTCAGCGCCACCGCCCACCTTGTGGAGGCGGTGGCAGATGGTGAGGTGTGCGCGAGGTCGAGGATGCCGAGCCACCGTGCATCCGCTCCATGCGTGAGGGTGAACGCAGATGCGCTGGGTCTGCGTCGGGGATTTGGGGATTAGGGTTTAGACGACTTGGGAGAAGACCGCCGATGGGGAGAGGATCTGTTGGGCGAAGGCGGTCGGCCCACAGGAGGGTATAGGCCGGCTTGGACTTGACGAGAACGGAGTGGAGGCGGCTCTGGGAATGGGACTTGGTCGGACGCACCGAGGCCGGCCATGGCGACTTCGCAGCCTCCGCAAGTGGCGGCGATAGGAGATGACCCAATCTACAACCATGAGGGGCGCATTTAACGAGGGCGCGCGGATCCTTCGTTGGATCTATCCTGTGGGGAGATGAGGAAGACGAGAGGGAGGGGCGGGGAGGCCTGATGAGAGGAGTGGTGAGGGTGTGTCGAGAGAGGCGTCGGTGTGGGATTAGGGTTTGGGTGTTATTTTATAGATCGGAGGATTTATAGGGGCGGCTAGTGATTGAGCCGCCCTAAATAATAATACCGGGGCGGTGGTGAGTAAGCCGCCCTACAAATCAGACTTATTTGTAGGGCGGCTCAGATCACCACCACCGCCCCTATGTTTTTTATTTGTAGGGGCGGTTGGTCTCTGGGCTCCCGAGCACGTCACTGTAGGGGCAGCTCCATCACTAACCGCCCCTACAAAAAAATTGTTCCGTTGCTACAAATTGTTTTTCACATAGTGTTGCAGCCGCAGAGAACGGACGGAGCGGTGTGGGGAAGCGGCGACAACGCCCGGCCAGAGACAAGGGCGCATGTTGCTAGTCGACGCGGTATTCATGGGCGGCGCCCGGCGACGAACCTCTAGCCCGCTCCACGGTCGGGCCACCTTCCACCCATCTGCTGTGTGCGAAGTCGCCACGGTGTCACCAGTGAGACGGACATGGCAAGAAGCGCCGCCGCAGTTGTTCAAGGGCGGAAGGGGCGAAGGGCGCAAGGAAGGAGATGGAATTATGGGTAACGGGATATCCGTACCCTACCCTTAATCCATCGGGTAGAAGGAGATTTTACCCATACCGGACCCGAATCAGACGGGTATGAATTTGGGGAATGGATTCGAATATCCAACGACAGGGGTTTAGCCAGAGAGGAACCTTACAAAATGAGGCCTTAATACTAAGTGTTTACATCAAAATTTGAGACAAAGAACGCGGGAACTCGCAGGCTTCTAAGATTATGCCAATTAAGGGGGATTCAAAATGGCAACGGGTACCCGAAACCCGAGTACCCAACGGGTTTTACCCGATAAGGAGGCGGGTATGGAAGACATTTTGCACCCGTGGGTATGTTATTGGACGAATTCTTATACCCATCAGATATGCGGGTACGGGTGTGGGTGTATACTACCCATACCCGCATACCCGTGGATAAAAAAAACTGCATAAATAATATCCAACCTCTGCAATTTTAGCCCATATAAGCATATAGCTCATATTTGGCTCATATAAGCATATGAGTATATATATTTCAGAACTCCCTCAAACCCTAATCCCCATATAAGCATATTTGGAATGAACCAATGAGGCATATGATCTATTTCAACTAGCTTGACCTGGATATATTTCTGTTTTGCTGCTCTATTGTTGATTTGTTTTGCTGGAAGCTATTATATTTTGGTGTGTGAACTTGGGTATATTGTTGGGTGCGGGTTACCCGTCGGGTAAGAATTACCCGTCGGGTGCGGGTATAGAATGAATTTTCTACCCGCCTGCGGGTACGGGTAACCCGACGGGTAAAATTTTGATCTGGCGGGTGCGGGTACGGGTGGCCAGTACCCATCGGGTACGTACCCGTTGCCATCTTTAAGGGGGATCGATGTCAGCCGATTCGGATACGACCCTGGAATCGGGTCTCTTGGAATGACGTCAGCAGATAGCGGTGATGAACTACGATTGGTGCCAGGAAACTACATATCAGACTTTGCAAAAAGGGAAAGATTAGAGTCCAAGTTATCTTAAATTAGGAATATCTTTGTTTACGTCAAGGATTGTAACAAATCGTGCTCGAGTAGGATTCGTGTTTAGACTCCGGGTATAAATATCAAACACCGGCTATTGTAAAATCAATCAATCAATCTAAATACAAGTCAATTATTTTTTTCGACTCCAGCCACCCCTCAGGAGTAGGAGTAGAGTAGATTTCGGCGAGTTCTTCAGCGAGTACGGCTGAATTGATCCGGTCGACCTCCACTGCTTGTCTGTAAGTACCATCATGGTTTATACCTCTATTCGTATGGTTGCATCGATCCGGTCGACCCCCACTGCGGCTCTGGTATAAGCTAGTTATCGACTCTTGTTTAATTCAAGTATGACCTGTGTGATTCTGCCTCACACCCCACTGCTTGAATTAAATCAAGGTCAAGTTATCGGCTCTACCTTAGAATGACAGTCTTTGGTAGATTCATTAAGTTACTGATATTGCTTATTGCTTTCATTATTTATCTAATTACAACAATATCACTCTGCCCGATTGAGATTGGTCTAGATCGGCCTTATATCTTATTTGACCCATCATTTGCTAATCTAAGACTGATCTAATCTACACTTTAAACGATGAGTTATGTTTTATCGGCTGTTTTATATCAATCTTAATCGTGCATAACGTGCGGTTAAGGCATGTTGCGTCTCGAGTAGATCTATTGGCTAGCGAAAACCGTTCCACGGCCCGTTATCACGGCCTGTGTGATTCTGCCTCACACCCCACTGTTAGCACCGTGGAGTGGGGATCGTTATTTAGTAGATTTATTCCTGGTAAGGCATGACTTTAACTATGCGCTATGCCTGAATCGGCTGTTTTAGCTGATATCGAGTGCTTTCACGAACAGTTCGCGTCACGAGACCGTTGAAGTAAAGATGGGTTGAAAGGCATGTTAGCCCAATGATCTTATTATTGTATTACGGCCTGCATGATTCTGTCTCTTGCCCCACTGATATTTGTAATGAGTTAGGGTCGTTGAGTTTATCGTTATTTCTACGGACTGTATGATTCTGCCTCATGCCCCGCTGGTCATTGTGATAGATGAGATCTAACATGTTCATTAGATTTATCTTTATTAAACGGTTAAATGGCGTTGAATTGTTTCTTTATATAAAAGGGGTTCGGTTACTTGTAATCATTGGCTTGGCATAAACCAATCATCGTTGATATCTTATTGCCATTGATTCATATTTGCTCAAACAATGATATTTACCATGAATGATAACCGATTCTTCTTACGCAACCCCATGAGTTTTAACTGATTTATTCTCATGAATATGCTGGAATCGACTATTTAGTCAATCTCCTTTCATATCGGCTCTCATAGCCGCACATTCGGGACTGTCTGGCAACACCGGCAAGTTCCGCCCTTAATTACTGATGAACTTTCTCTGCTTGTCAATTGCAGGGTCAAATTGACTGGCACGCCTCGGGAGGATTGCGCAGGATCGACCATCCCTACGCTGAAGCTAGGCGGATCTGCTCCATCGAGCGGACCCTTCCGGCTTGCTGCGTGTGTCCTCGGCACGGGACGAAAATTCTGTGTCGACACTAAGTGTATGTATATGTAGTTTTGAGTTTAATTTGAATATTGGGTGATGCATATGCATGTGGGGGGATGTTGCATTAGTGGCCACATTGTGATGTCCTTTATTATTTTAGCTAGGTGCAGCCGTGTTCTAGAGCATATGTAAGTACCACATATCGTGATTTAATTATTTAGAAAAAGTGTATACATACATTGCATTCATCCATCGAGTGTGTTGTTGACATATATAGGGCGTTGCGATGTCTACGAGTGGTTTACGGGCAGCAAAGAGGTAGCAGCGTATATATATATTATGACACGGGAGGACGTACGGCTGCGTAAAATGCGTGGACACCAAGTCACTGTTAGACTTCATTTTAGGCATATTCATCAGATCGGGATACATAGTAGTAGAATAGGTGTTCGGGATTCACAGAGAGAAAGGGGGTGATAGGTAGCAAACCATCGAAAGCCGTAGTGGTCGAAGCTCTGGCCGGGGTTTCGTTGACAGACGCCATCTGCGCGCCGGCAGCGACGTTCGGTGGAGAGGGAGTCGGCGCTGTGGCATCCTCGGCGGCGGCGTGTGCGTCGGGGTGGCGTTGCCGGCGTCGGTGGTGCTTCCCGTCGCTAGCAGCACCCCTTCTCAAGATCGGGTCTAGGGTTAGGATGTTGGTGGGGTGACTGGCGGCGCGGTGAACCTCGTACTGCGAGCCTCGACCCCCACCTTTCCTTTATAGTGCTGTGCGACGGGGGCCCACCAACCATGTAGGGTTGGGCGCCCCCGATCAGGGCGCGAGAACAAGGCCCAAAAAGGCCGTTGGGCCTAACTGGTGGGAGATCAAACCTAACATTCTCCCCCTTGATCTCTCATCTATTCTTCGTTCTTTAATTTCGTACTCAAAACTTTTAATTCATATTTTTCTTGCTTCCATCCTATTTCATCACAGATTAGTGCATAGAACTGTCCCATCGTCACAGCAATTAGTGCCGTTAGACTAACAGCCACAATACACTTCTCCGTTTTGAAATGTAAACTTTCTTTGGGCCCTTCGTATGTTCGGGAATCATAGGCTTTCACTTAAACCCATGCCGGCTACGTGTTCTCTGAACACGTTGGGTGGTAAGCCCTTTGTGAGCGGATCCGCGAGCATTTTCTCTGTACTTATATGCTCAAGATTTATTATATGATCTCGAACTTTATCTTTCACAACATATTACTTTATGTCAATGTGTTTGGCAGCACCACTTGACCTATTGTTGTGAGCGTACTGTACCGCTGGATTGTTATCACAATACAATCTCTGTGGTTCATTTATATCATCAATCACTTTCAATCCGGGTATGAATTTCTTCAACCAATTCACCTGCCCCGTTGCCTCATAGCATGCTACAAACTCGGCATACATTGTCGAGGATGTAGTTACGGTTTGTTTGAAGCTTTTCCACGATATAGCCCCTCCTGCGAGAGTAAATACATATCCTGACGTGGATTTTCTTTCATCTCCCGCATAATCAGAATCTGAATACCCCTCTATCTGCAGGGAGTCAGATCTTCTATACGTAAGCATGAGGCCTTTCGTACCCTGTAAATAACGCAGGACTTTCTTCACTAATTTCCAATGTTCAATTCCTGGATTCTTTTGATATCTGCCAAGTAACCCGGTAACAAAAGCTAAGTCAGGGCGTGTACACATTTGAGCATATT